TGAACTACGAGTACGCTGATCCCCTATTGTACGGAAGGTGGTACATAGGCACTAAAGGTTCGCAACCGCGGCAGATGAAAAAATTGTAAAAAATACTTCTTTTCTCATCTCCACCATCTATTTTTGTATACACCATTTATAGCCAAAATGCACAAATTTTTAAAGAGGTTCCTGTGGAGTACCATAGATGTTTAGAGTGCTAATACTTTCCCTTTGCATAACCAACCCCCGTACCTAGATTCTCTCCCCTCTCTTTTTGGGTTTATTAGCTCTTTTCCCATTCCACTAGAAACAATAATGCGCAGTGGTGATTTTTATTTGATATGTCTGAGTCAAGCCAATCCAATGGCTTAGTCTCAACATTTCTACCGCTATACTCATGTTTTTAAAACTTATTAAACAATGTAGTGAGATCAAGTGTTGTAAGATCATTGGCTTCCTTGATTGCGGTGACCTTCAGTTGCCAATTCTTAGTAAAACATCTCAAAACATTGTTAGTAGTTACTACATTGGAAATAGGCATACCAAGTGCGTTCAAACAATTAATGATATTTAATGAATTTTTCTTGTCATCATTATTCCATAGTGCTTAAAGCTTAAGTGTGGCAATTCCATTAGCATCAAATTGAGTAATAGCGTCACCATACCCTTGTCTTATGAATTAACAAGAATGTGCATACAAGCTTTCCAATAACTATAGTTTTCTCCCGAAAAGATTGGGGATGTTTTGTAATTCCTTTTAGGTTCGTACGCTATTTTCTAATAAGAGTTTCAAAGCACATAATTAACTAGGCTCGAATACCACTTGTTAGACTATGAATACTTATCTAGATGGAGGTGAATAGATCCCCAATTAAAAACTACCTTTCAAAATAGTGACTTAAAAAACTTATTTGAAAAACAAAGTTGAGCGGAAGATTTTTGGCCTAGATCAAAATAGTAGTCTAAACGAACCTAGTTATTGCAAAATCATATATGCACAAACCATACGGAATTAAGATAATGATAAAATCAATCAACATAATAATATCTCAATTAATATTTTATTATCAAACACAACAGTTTCCTATTTCCAATGAAATCATATTAAAAATATAACTTGATAATTTATCGAACATGTGGCGTGCAATCAATTTTTCATAATTTTCTTTGAACTATGTTGATATAAAAAAGCACTTATAATCAAAGTGATTATAAGTTAATCAACAAAGCAATTTAAACTTTAACAGTCAAAGAGAAATTCTTATGAATCGATCAATCAAACAAAACATTTAACAAATTGCATATAGAGAGTAAATGAGAGTAAGAGATAGAACATTGCACTTTTCCTTTGAGTTGAACAAGCTAAACAATTCGTCAAACACTTGGTGCACAATCAAAGTTTCAAAAAATTTCTTTGTGTTGATATGAAAAAGTATAACCCTACAAACCATAACTGTTTGATGTTGACTCAACCCCTTATCTTCTTTTGATCTTCAACAAGACCAAGACACAATATCTGCCAATTGATTATCCAGATCTTGCTACTCTTTTGCGTACTTTATCTCCAAAGCTTTTGCACACCATCAATTGCACCTATTTCAACACAAGGATTTAATTTGATTTTCCATTCTAGAACAAACTATAAAATAATAATTCCCTCTGTTGATGCAGATGCTCAACTACTAACAAAAATAAGATCTCTAAAGATCTTGATCCAATAACCTTGTTATCCACAATAACCTTCTCCAATTATTCATATGTGGCAATCCACTTAATCCGACTAATATCTTGTCTAAGTGAATTCCATTATCTAAGTGTTGATTAGATAACTCCCATCATTGTTTGCGCGCAATCTTCCTCCAAATCCACCAAAGATGGATAAATTCCAACTTCGCCTTACGGACAATTGATACTTGATCTTGCCAAAGTATTCCTTTGAGTATATTTAAACTCACTCCTTGACAGATAACAATAAGAACCAGACTGCATTCAAGAAATGATACTTGTACGTGTTATAAACAACAAACTTCACACAAAACTAGATACCCTAATGTACCTCTAGTCTCCTTCAACACTAAATATTTAGATATGAAGATCCACAAAAATAAGAAAATGAATAAGGATGAAGATGATGAATAATTCTAGGCCATCTCACATACAACTCTAAAACACATGGTGTTAGTCAAGAGATTAAATGAATGTGAAAGAAGAATACACATACACAAGGTTTTCTAAATTTCTGGATAAATGGGTCTTGGTTCTTGATTGATATCATGAGTTTGATTAATCATGAACAACACAACTAGATTAATAAACTCTCTCTCTCTCTCTCTCTCTCTCTCTCTCTCTCTCTCTAATTCACTCAAAACAACAACAAATTACACAAGATGCAAAAAAAAAAGAAGTGAATATGACATGGATTACACTAAATATGTTGTTATAGATGAGAAAAGAAATATCAATGGTAATGGGTATAGACACACTAAAGAAGAGAAGACAAATTGACATCTTTGTTTCAATGGGTTGCACCCATATGTTTCACACACTTGTTACTTTCATCAAAGAAACAACTATTTAAATCTAAGATTGAAAATTGGATTTGTGAAACTATGATTAGATTCAAGAAGAAATTATGATTCAAATCACAAGATTTTATGATTCAAATCAAGTTATATGATTGACCCAAATAAATTTGACCAGAGCCTAAATTTGGCTTCATGGAGACATCTGATTTGAATCAGAATTAACACTTGATTTGTATCACATGAGATTGTGATTTGAATCAGGTTCATTTGTTGATTCAAATCAATTCATCCAGAGGAAAATTATAACTTTCATAAGGTTCCTGATTCGAATCAAATTTAACACTTGATTTGAATCAAGTAACTCAACATCTTGATTTAAGAGCTCTAACTTGTGATTAAAGTCACACCTGATGAAACGACAAAAGAGAAATTTATAAGGCTTAAAAGGGATATTATAAAGGATAAAACAATCTAATTTATTGTGTAATGAGGGTTCTCAATGGTACAACAACAAAATAGATGGAGTGATTACAATAAAGCTGAAATATGAATAATGTACAAGCATGCAAATATCAAATGATAAGCAAATTTTAAATACACAAACAAAATATAACAACTACATTCAAATTGGAAAAAACATCAAAACAAATAAACAATACCATACGATAACGTGACTGCACTTTCAGTTTCCCCTTTTTGATGTTTGGAAATTTTGAAATATTATTGTTGATCAATTATTCAAAGTGTTATTTGTAATTTGATGGATGAAATGAATCCGATGAGTTTCCTTACCGTACATGTGACTAGTGTACAACACTTCGCTTGAGTTGTAAAAGCTGTAGAGCTTCCTCTATATTAAAAACTTAATACGCGTGAATAATGATAATATCCCGATACCTTCTCCCCTTTTAACAAATATCAACAAGAGAGAAAAGATAGAAAGAAAACACATGCAAACAGTTGAATCCAAGATAATACAAAATCCAAAAATAGAATGTCATATTTAGTGAACTAAACAAGCACCATATAAATCACATACGAAACATATTATTAAAAACACACAATTTTAATAAAGATATCAAGAAAGAGATGACATAAAGGAATCATACAGATATCATACATACATGACTAAAAAACTTGTATCAAGATACATAATACAAAATGTAGTCATTAATCACAAAATAGCCAGTTAACTAAAATAACATAAACATCCAGATATGCTAATGTTATGATATGCATGAAAAGCTAAAAATAAAATCAGGGAAGCTCAACTGCATTATTAGAAGGAGGTGCAACAATTGTAGGATCTAAAATGGGGACAATCTCTGGATCACAATAAAAAACCAATATGAAATATGACATTAGATCTACCAAGGTGGTCAATAACAACTTTCACATAATCCACTTGAGTAGTCACTCGAGCTTCACCAGCTTGCATCTCGTCTATTAATTCTCTATTTTTATGTTTGGTGTTATGTTTAGTAAAACTAATAGAGCAACAATATGTTAAATGGGATGTGATTGCTTGCTATGAAGAACATGTAAAGCAAGAAGTCTTATTTTATGTTAGGACATGTTGAGTTGAAGTGTTTCAACATCTGGAACAGCATATCGGATAAGATGTTCTATAAAGGAGCATAGGACATTGTGCCTGAGCTGAACTGGACTATTATGTTTTATTAAGTCACAAAGATAGAATATAACTTAAGGATATTATATTATCCTATCAAGAAGAATATTGAAGAATATTTACTTTCTAAATATGAATATAATTTAGGAATATTTGATTGAAGACCTATTTTGTAGCAGAATTTTCTGCAGATATGTAACAACTAAAAAGTTATGTTTTGAAGGCCCAATCCAGTTGGGTATAGGTTATAAATATAATCAATGTAACCTAGGATTGGTACCATCCAATAATTGTAAATATGTAATCATTAGGGTTGAGTTCGTAGCCACTCTCTAGGAGAGTTGGTGTAAGTGAACCACTCAGGCTGTGAGATGGGCATTGTGTTCTCACTTAGAAACTTGTAGGTAATGAGTTGAGTATTGTTCTTGTATGAAGCTTGTAAGAAAATCCGAGTTATGTTCTCAGTCATGAGTCTTAGTTAGGTATTATCATGGAAGTGTGTCTTCTATTTTATTGTCATGGAAGTGTGTCTTCTATTTTGATCCAATCGTTGTTTGTGATTGAAGAGGGATTGAGGAGGGCCTCATATCTAGGTGAGTCTTAGATAGAAGTCTAGCAAGGGTAGTGATTAAGTGATTAGGTCATAAACTGGAGGTTTGTTGTATGGTCTATAAATTGATACTATTTTAGTGGACTTATCACTGGCTTGGTATGCACCCAGAGTAGGAAGGTTGTTCCAAACTGGGTTAATAATTCTTGTGTGTTGTTTATGCTTTTTAGTACTGGTTTTAATTGTTTAGACCTTGTTGTAATATTTAAGTCAGATAAGATGTCTCGACATGTCATAGGACATATGAGTTTCGTCATACCAGAATTTCATCGTCCTTCAATTCTTCTTTCAACCTGTTTCGGCTTTCTTCACCTTTTTTTGCCACAACTTCAATTTTACCCATAATAATTTCTTCTTTGACCTTGTTATCCTCCAAAATCTTCCTAACCAACTTATCAAGATAAGTTTTCACATCAGTAGATAATAGTCCATAACTAGATGCACCAACCTCATTAGAAGGGTCCTTCACTGTTTCCATAATTCGGTCATCATACATCTGCCTGCCAGATTTCTCAAGATAATAGTAAACACCATCAATGTATATGTAGTACCTCATCATGGAAAATCTGTATTCATCCATAATCGTCAAATCTTCAACGAAGTCTTCTTCCTTGGACACAATACCATTAACTTCTAGAATTGTCTACACAAAAGAAGAGAGAAACATAGGCCTTCTTAAGTTTTCCTTGTAGAAGATCACCCACTTAATAATGAACTTCACCCACTCAAATCAATTAGATGAAAAAAGATCCCACGTCAGGTAGAGGTCAAAGTCATCAACCCTGTCCCAATTACTAGGTTTCATGTAGAACACCTTAACAAATATCTAGTGGAGAATTCACATGTTTAAATTCACATGACTAATAAGGAAGTTTAACATAACAATGTTCTTAGCCACAAACTTGGAAATAGACAGAACAAAATGAACTTTATCATACTCAGACAATTTAGCAGCAATTATGCTTGCACTAGAAGAAGTCAAACCAAGGTACTTAGTAAGATAACCATATGCAAATTTCATAACATTAATCTTGGATCTACTCTTAAGTCCAACAATAGTAAGTTCAAGGTTGCAGTAAAAGGCATTAACATGACCGGGGTTAAATTTCTTGCTCAGACCAATAAATTTCAACAAGTCGTGGTTTGCATAGAGTTTGAGAAATTTTCCTCTCGACTCGGTTTCAAAAATAGAATCAACATAATACTCAGGATCAATAGGCTTATTCAAGAAATTGTAATGGTACCATTTCAAACCATCTTTAGGAAGTAGATGAATCACCTTATGGCACATAACATAAATGGTTTGACTCTAAGAAGATTGCTTACTTGACTTCTTGCTCAGTTTTCCATCAGAGGAATCTTTGTTGGCTTGAACCTTGCTTCTCTCCCTTTTAGGTTATTGAGGAGGAGATAGATTTAAAGAATAAAATATCCTCTTACCTTGTTGCTTTTCAGAGAAGCTATTTTGGGGAATATGAGATGCCATTGTTGATGTTGATGTTGATGAGAATCAATTTGGATGATGAAGTTAAGATGATGATTGATGATTAATGTTGGTGATGAAATGAATGTTAGATGATGATGATATAATATGATGAGGATTTTTGTGAAAAGGGTTTAAAGTGGTTTGAAAAATAAATGAAAGTGAAAAGAAAAAACTAAACAAAATTCAAAATAAAATGTGACTTTTAGGTTGTGATTCAAATTAGGTGTTAAATTTGATTCGAATCAATTCGAGTCGATTCAAAAAGTCACAAGTCCCAGACTTCTTATTCGAATCAGGTTCAAAGCTTGATTCAAATTAAGCAATCAATTTTTGAAAAAAATGTTAAAGCATTTAAAGTAAACTGATTTTTACGAACTCAATTATTATTTTAATGATGAATATCTTTAATGCAAATGAAAATTGATTTTTAATGAGATGCATGAATGTGATTATGATTAAAAATGATGAGCCACTTTAATGCAAATGTTCAAAATAATTTTTGATGCAAAATGAATTTGATGTGAATGCTAAAATAATTTATACATGCACCTGTTACAAACAACAAAATTCACACAAAAACATTAGAGATGAAGGTCAACAACAATGGGAAAATGACTAAGGATGAAGATCATGAATAGTACCAGGATATCTCACACACACTCTTAAACATAAGGTGTTCGCCAATGGATTAGATGAATATGCATGAAGAAGACACACACAAGGTTCACCTAAATTTCTGTATGAATGGGTCTTGGTTCTTGATTTATAACATGAGCTTAATTAATAATGAACAACACAACAAGATGAAACAAGAATAAGATGCAACAAAATGAAGTGAATCTAACATGGAGTGCACTAAAGATGTTATTCCAGAGAAGAAGATAAATATTAATGGTGATGGGTATAGACACACTAAAGAAGAGAAGACAAATTAACATCTTTTTCTCTATGGGTTTCACCCATATGTTTCATACAATTGTTAGTTTCATACACTTGTTAGTTTCATCAAAGAAACAACTATTTAAATATAAGATGGAAAATTGGATTTGTGAAGCTATGCTTCGAGTCAAGAAGAAATTATGATTCAGATCACAAGATTTTGTGATTCAAATCAAGTTATATGCTTAATTCAAGTCAATTTGAGTAGAGCATAAATTTGGCTTCATGGAAACATATGATTCGAATCAGAATTAACATTTGATTTGAGTCACATGAGATTGTGATTCGAATCAAGTTCATTTGTTGATTCAAATCTATTCATCTTAAGGCAAACTCCAATTTTCACAAGGTTCTTGATTTAAATCACATTTAACACCTTGATTCGAATACAGTAACTCAACATCTTGATTTAAGAGTTCTAACTTGTGATTCAAGCCACACCAAATGAAACAACAAAAGAGAAATTCATAAGGCTAAAAATGTACATTATCAAGTATCAAACACTCTAATTTATTAAGTAATAAGGGTTCTCAATTGTAGAACAACACAATAGCCAAAGCGATTACAATACAACTGAAATACAAATAAATTACAAGCATATGAATATTAAATTATAAGCAAATTACAAATACACACACAAACAAAAACAACCACATTTAAATTGGAAAAAACATCAAAACAAATAAACGGTAGCATACGACGACGTGACTGCACTTTCATATTTGTTTTAAATGTTTTAAACCATTTAGTTATAATTTGTAGTTGAGCATATTAGGTGTTGTGTCTGTGGATTTCACTTGGGGTTTTAGTGTGTAGGATCAACTCTATTAACAATTGGTGCCTTGATAGTGCTTGACTATTTGTTACCAACATACTTAAGTGTAATAAGAAGTTGTATGGAGTCGTGACACCTAAACAAAAGTTTAGACAAAAGAATAATCTAGATGTTGAGATAATTCTTAAGTTAGCATGAAATGGGTAAGCATGTAAAGCTGCAAGAAGGAATGAAACTTGTCACACTTGTGCAACTATAATATCATAGTACTGCCTCAAAATAGGAATATGACTTATTCTTGGAAAAAATCTAATTGGATAAAATAAGACTTGCCCAAGGAACAAAAATAAAGTACTTTAAATGGAAACGAAACCTTATATCAGAGAAGGAACTTGGAGGAATTTTCAAAAAACTAAGATAGTAACAAATCAGAGTTGTTATAACCATCTTTCCCCAATATCCATTTCTAATGCATTGCTGATGCTGGAAGGCACGACATAGAAGATCACTTGCAATTGGAAGATTGCAAGATATTGTTGTAAATTTTTTAAGTTTATCATTTTTATTCACCTCTGTTTAAGAATATGTAATATAATGTCTCATTATTTTATTATTGTTATGCTAATTATGAGCTAATCTTTTTTTGTTGAATAATGTGAAGTTCCATGAATATGTAGTCTTTTGAATGTAATTTATGTTATGTTTATTCATGATATGTTATTTATATATGTCCAGATGCAAGTTTATTAAGTTGTCTTAGTGCTTATTAAATGGATCTCAAGAACTAACATGGTAAAATAAAATAGCAAGTAAACATACATTTCTTACTTAATCACTTTAGACATAAATGATTAGGATCATAGGGGTAAAAATGACAAGTTTTATTTGAAGTGTAGTGGTGCTAATGAGGGCTTAGACATAATGTAATCTTAGTGAACTATTTCATATTTTCACATTTTTGGCGAATACCATTAGGTTTATCCATTGCCTCACATGATATGACACCACACATCACCATATACACCAGATGAAATCATGGAATGGATCATTTTCTAAGACCACTACAAACTTTGATTCACATTAATTATCATTTTCTACTGTTATATAACCTTTTTGCATGATACCCATTATTATTCCCTTTTTAGCTCACAAATCACTTTATTTGAGTCAAGTGACTTATTAAAATATTTAAACTTTGTGGATCTATGTGTTTGCAGGTATGAAGGTTGTAGGAATCTATTGATTTTGTTTTTGTGAGTATAACTTTACCATTAGATGTTTTGCATGAACTCAAAACTAGGAAAACTTAGCATTTATGTATATTGGACAGTATCTCTATCTCTTGTGACACTCCTTTGTATTAGGGGTCTTAGGAACCATTAAAAACCATTTTAAAATTGACCAAAGTCTTGAAAAACAAGTTTCTGCATAAATTTTTATTGCATGTGTCGACACATACATATTTCAGTTCGACACATGCAACTTAGTTTTGCAGTTCGTGGCCTCTGGAGGGCTTAGATTGACACATGTATTCATATAGGTCAGCACATACCGAAGCTTTTAACAAATTGCAGAAATTCTTAATTTATGTGTCGACACATGTACTATTTTTTTAAAGGCTAAAAGCTATTTCCATGCTTAGGTCGACACATCCATTTTTTAGGTAGACACATACAGTTAGAATTTGACTTATGTATCGACACATATGATTTTCAAGTTGACACATACTATTTGATTGGGTCAATTTTTGAATTCTTTTTAAATCTGAAAATCTCCTTTTTTCATCTAAACTTCCACATCTATAAATACATCATTCATGCATCATTCCAACTTGATGATACCATAAAAAATTTCCTGCAATTGCTCTTCACCTTCAACCTCTAATATATGCATACACACTAACAAAACACACATAATTATCTTTTGTTAGGGTACCATCTAGACGAGGTTTGATAACATCCAATTAAGTTCTTGTGTAGTCGAGAATATTGAATTGATATTTACAGTGGTCTTCGTCTGGAAAAACCACGAGTTTGTCCTCCAAGATCTTTGGTAAATTTAGAGGATTTTCATACAAGACGTTCAAGAGAGGATTGCAACCTAGTGGAAACCTTTGGAGATAAAGAATACAAATGACCCTTTGGAGATAAATAACACAAAGGAAGTAGCACGACAACAATGAATCAAATTGAAGTCTTGTGTGCAATAGGTATAATTGATCGTGCGTGAAAGATTTGGAGATAATGAATGCAAAGGAGTAGAAATATAGACAATTTAATTGGGATCTATTGTGTATTCATCTTTCTCAAGATCAAAAGAAGAGAAGGGGTTGAATCAACAATAAATGTTAGGGTTTACAAGGTTGCTCTTGGAACACTTCTCTTGTATCAACTTTTTCCATAATAAGAATTATCCTAATTCTAAATTAGAATTGGGCACAGACATACCCACACGCGAGGACAAAAGTGGGGAACCATGTAGACAAATCCCCATGTCCCTTTTCTTATCGTTTTACTTGCTTTAATTTTAATCAATCAATTTGTTAAATAACATTGAGTAATCCATTGAATCATAAGAATTTTTCCGTGGCTATTTTTGTTTTGAATTAAGCGTTGATTTGCTTATAATAACTTTTAATTATAAGTGCTTTTCTATCAACATAACTCAAAAGGAAAATTTTGAAAATTCAATTGCACACCAAGTGTTCGACAAATTGCTTTGTTTGTTCTTTTGATAATTACCATCAGAAATAGTATTGCTAGTAACTTGCTATAAACGATTAATACCTTATTACTTTATTGAAGTATATAAATTCCATATTATAGTTTTCATTCCATAATTTATTTTATATTTTCATATCTGACTTACAATAGTTTGGTTCGTATAGACGACACTTTCTGAAAACCTTTCGCATGCACTCTTTTTTCAATTACTTTTAAAACCATAATTTTTATCTGGACTTTTTGGCTTGGTGATCTATTCACTCCCTTCTAGATAAGGCATTATCATCTAACAATTTTGATGTTGACAATACTCTTATGAAAAGTCTTCATCAATTTTATTCTTCAAGGTTATGTTGGTTCAAATAATG